TGTATGTCGTAAGCCGTATAATATTGCCTTACACACAGATATGAGTCATAATTCACTCAATGCTGAAATTATAGATCAAAAGATATAAATGCACTGATTTGTACCCTCCCTCAAAACAAAAGCAAATCTTCTGGCTCACATCCATTTACAGTTGATAAAATGTTTCCGAAAGAAGTCTCTTATGCTCAGAAAGGCTGGATTTATCACATCAAAAATACTGTAAAATTGTGAAATATTACAATTTTAAATAATTGTTTTCTATTGCAGAATGTAATTTATTGCTGTGATGCGCAGCTGAATTTTCAGCATCATTACTCCAGTCTTCAGTGTCACATGATCTTCAGAAATCAGTATAATATGATTCTCAAGAAACATTTCTGATTATTATGAGTGTAGAAAACACCTGTGCTGCTTCATATTTTTGTGGAAACCATGATAATAGTTTTTTTTTAAAGATTGTTTGATGAATAGAAGGTTCAAAAGAAAAGCATTAAAAAAATAGAAATATTTTAGTGTTTTTTAATATATATTTTTGTATAGATCTACGATTGAAGAAATGGAATGAGAAGTAGAGTTGAGTGCCATCTGCATAGCAGGAAAAGCCATGTTTCTGAATGACAGATCCTAATGATGACATGTAGATGGAGAAGAGAAGTGGTCCAAGCCCCGAGCCCTGAGGAACCCCAGTACAAGAAGTTGTGACTTAGAAACCTCACCCCTCTAAAACACCCTGAAGGATCTACCTGAGAAGTAAGATTTGAACTACTGGAGTGCAGTTCCTGAGATGCCTATCTTCATGAGGATTGAAAGGAGGATCTGGTGGTTAACTGTGTCAAAAGCAGCAGACAGATCCAGCAAGATGACTAATGAGGATTTGGAAGTTGCTCTTCCAAGTCTCAGGGCTTCAGTAACCGAGAGCATATTAAGCCGCTATTGAAGCCAGATTGGTTGTTGTCCAGGAGGTTGTTCTGTGTGAGAAACATTTGGTTGAACACAACTCGCTCAAGTGTCTTTGCACCTTGAATGGAAGAAGGGATACCCGTCTGTAATTTTCTAAAAGTGCTGGATTTAGAGAGGGTTTCTTAAGGAGTGGAGTTAACCGAGCCTGCTCAAATGCTGTGGTAAATGTACCAGTCTGAAGAGAGGTGTTGATAATGTGACTGAGCGCATTCATAACTGAAGAAGGAATGGCCTGAAGGATGTGAGTGAGGTTAGGATCAAGAGGACAGGTAGGAGGATGATTGGAAAGGATAAGTTTGGAAATGTCTGCTTCCGAGAGTGGAGAGAAAGAGGAGAGAGAGTGTGTATCTGTTGCTATGATGTGTTTGTCAGTTTGTGGTATAGAGAACTGGCTGCTGATTGTTTTTGTTTCATTTATGAAGAATATAGCAAAGTCGTCAGCTGTAAAGGTCTTTGCACACCAAGTCTCATTTGAAATTTTGGGTGAACTATCCCTTTAAGAAGTGTGTCCCAAAACTTTTGTCTATATAGTGTATGTAAAATGGGACATGGCCATGTTTGATTTTGGTCAGCCTCTCTGTGCTGCTGTGGAGTCAAACCATGATTTCGTTGTTAAACCACTATGAAGAATCAAAAGCATTTTAGAAATGATCAGCACTAAAAGTGAATCGATGCTGAATGAGAATTGAATTGTGTGTGTAAATCAGAACAGGACAGAGAAGATGTTGATAAAAATGTTTTATGGTTCTTCACAAAACACAAGGTCCTGTTTAGACTGTACTGAGATATGTTGTGGAAAAAGGGACGTCTGACACACACACACACACTCTCTCTCGCTCTCTCTCAATGTGAATCATTGACAGCATCTGTAATGGAACTGTCTCTTGAACACAAAAGTGGTTCCTGCAGATGTCTATGATGATGATCAGACACATTTTAAGGCTGTTTTAAAAGTCCTGCATATCAGCATCCATGAGTTGAATCTTCTGTTTATTCAGCTGCACCGATAGCCATTTTCTGGGTTTCTTCTGCGAGGTGTATTTGGAGTTTCTCTGGCCTTTGGATGGAGATTTACTGCTGATCACAGAACCGTGCTTCGCTGAAAGATACGCATGACAATCACAGCTTCTGTCGAATCGCGATCTCGATTCCATTTCGATTTATCATGCAGCCCTAGAAACTGAGTCATTTCTAGATCCCTAATCATTTCAGTAGCACAGGGCTGATCATTTTGTGAGTCAGTATAATGTAGCTTTACGCACAAGTCTTCAATATGTACTTGTGTCTTCAATATGTGAGCAATCAATCAGTTTGAATGCAAGGGTTAAGTGCACGTGTGCACATATTGACATATTTGAACGTTTTATGCGACGGGCAGCAAGTGTATGTTAGGTTATGTCCCGCCGGTTCATATGTACGTATCTAACCTCCGAACCACGCAGCAGATTCGTTCTGAATGAATCTCTTCCCAAATCGTCCCTCCCTAACATTTTCATCTCGTTTTTATTCTTTGACGAAAATGTCAATAGATTTACGTCATAGTTTTTGTCATTCAAAGAGAGTTTTAGTTCGTTATCGTCTGTGAAAAAAATGACGTTGACGAAACTTATGACGAAAATTATTCGTCAACCAAATTAACACTGCCGGGTTCATCCGCTCGCCTGTACACATAATATATATTTTTAATAATCTGAATACTAGATGTGTTTTTTTTATATCACATCCCCTTCCACAAAGCCGCGTTAAGATTTTTCCCCACTGACTTCTTTTGAATTTGTTCATTAAAAAGATTGATTACTTCACTCATACATTAAGTGACCATTTCTAATGAATCTTTATGCCAGAAGGTGGTGACAAATGAATGTCTTTTATGATTTTTGAGTGAGTTATTGAATCACTGAATCATTATAGGCGGTCAACTGGACACTGCAGACGTGACAGGATTAAACTAGTTTAATTTGCTCAATATTTTTGAATAATTTTTATTACATGCTTGAAATTGAAATTAAATATTTTCAAAATGCATCCTTTTTTAATCTGAACGCAATCTTAGACATTCTGCTTTCAGATGTTTTTAGGTTTTTTTTTAGTTTGGGAATTTGGATTAATATATGTATATAAATAATTACAAACATTCATTTGTTCTTATTCTTTAAAACATTAGATAACTTATTTCCCACAAAGTAATCTAAAATGGCACATGTTTTGGTAGTCAATTCATATAGGTTCAACTTGTATATTTCATTAATCTTTCTCCTAGGCAGGCCTGTAAGAGTCTTTGGCTTTCTGGTGGACTCAGGCTGTGATTTCATTATTACTCCTAAAGTACAAGTAATTTGGTTTAAAACAGTTTGGAGGAGCAGGTTCAGTAAACACCTTATTAATAAAGCATACCAGACAAGCAGAATATACCCCAGTATATGAACGCAATGCGCTGAGTTGCACTGTCTCCTTCCACGAAGCCATGTTAAGTGTTTTCTATCTCAAGAAAACGCTTAACGTGGCTTCGTGGAAGGAGACAGTGGTATTTAAAAAAAACACATCTAGTATATACAGATTACTAAAAATATAAATGATGTGTACAGGCAAGAGGATGAACCCAGAATATGAACGCAACGTGCTGAATTTAAGCGCTTTCCTCCCATAGAAAACTGTTAGCTATAAAGAATAAATGCTTAACGTGAGACTTTGCACATTGCGTTCATATTTTGGGGCATATTCTGCTGGTCTGTAAATGGTATACGCATTATTAATGAGGTGTGTATTGAATTTGGTCCTCCAAACTGTTTTAAGCCAAGTTCATTTGTTTTAGAATGTCCTATTTATCCTTAGACCACTATCCTGTGACAAGTGTGTTTATAAAGTCATTAAGTTGTAAAATCATAATTTTGACTCTTAAGTCATAATTTCGACAGTCATAATTTCGACTTTTTAAAGTCATAATTTCAATTTATCTCGTAATTGACAAACCATAATTTTGACTTTTTATCTCATAATTACTACTTTTAAAATCATAATTTTGACTCTTAAGTCATAATTTCGACAGTCATAATTTCGACTTTTTAAAGTCATAATTTCAATTTATCTCGTAATTGACAAACCATAATTTTGACTTTTTATCTCATAATTACTACTTTTAAAATCATAATTTTGACTTTTTAAAGTCATAATTGACTTTTAAAGTCACAATTTCGACTTTTTAATCTCGTAATTGACTTTTTAAAGTCACAATTTCGACTTTTTATCTCGTAATTGACTTTTAAAGTCATAATTTCGACTTAAATCATAATTTTGACTTTTTATCTCATAATTATGACCCAAGTATGCCATAATTTCGACTTTTTGAGGCATGAATTTTTTTTAGTATGTGGCGGAAATGGGCTTCCATACATTTGTTATTGTATAACTCAATTTTTTTCATTTTCTTTTTTCCAGAAAACAAGACTTCATATCTTCAGGCAGCTTGCATCTCAGTTAAATTGATCTCGGCAATAATTTAACACATAATTGCATGTTTACAGTTCTCTGATGCTGATTAATGGTCACACATTGACATGGTAAACGGAAATAATTTAAAAAGGAAATAATTTCTATTTTTAGTGATCAAGTGTTTAATAATGTATTTTACATTTTATGATTTAATTAATTACTAGCATTTTATTAACAGAGATTACATTACTAACTACAGTTCTCATAATCAGTAATGAACTACAATTTGTAAGTAATCTACCCAGCTCTGTCTGCCTTGCGGTCTAGATCAGTGATATTTCAGTATCGGTGACATATGCAGATTTCATTAATATTTCTGAATTAGTTTTTATGTTTTAGTTTTGATATTTTGTTTTCATTTGAATTTCAGTTAAAAGCTTTAGTCCTTTTGTTGTTTTTTTGTCATGTTTAGTATTTTATTATTTTTTATTTACATTTACACAGCCCCAGTAGAGTTGTCACGACACTGGGATTTCTAACTTTGGTACAATACCTTGAACAATATTTATATTTCATACCTTTTTCAATTCAGGAAGGAAAAAAAACTGTACCTGTTCCTCTTGCTGAACAATCTGGCTGAGTTTCTGCCTCCTCTTTTCACCCACTTTAGACACGATGGGGTTGAGCAGCCGGAACTCCTCGCTTCGCACATCCACCTGGTAATCAGGGTTCTCGAACATCACCTTGAAGCGGTCATCCGTCAGGAGATTGGCTACGGCCTTGAGAGAAAAACAGATAAGAGCAGAATGAGAAAAGGAGTGAGAGAGACAACAGAATTAAAGCACTTCACTAAAATATTTCTGTATTCCATCAGTGTGGAAATGAGTCAAAGAAACATTGCCCACATTGCCCTTTTTCTTCTTCTTCTTGGTTGAAAGCTCACTTTCCTCCATGAGTTTCATGGCCAGATCCATGTTGACCTTGGGCAGCTTCTGTTAGAGAATGACGGAGTCAAAGCACTGATGATAACAGACTATGAGAACATAGTTAACAGTTTTATTCACTCAATACTAGGGCCCGATGTGGAAAAAGTGTATGGACAAAATGGCGATATGATCTAGTGTCTGTGAATATTGTGCTGCTAAAATACTGGTTTAAATATGAAGCCCGCACGTCTGTGTGTTTTCATCTTTTTTTCATGCATACTGAAGCATACTCATTACATGAGCACATAAAAACTTCAAGTTCAGCTCCAGAGCTGCTCTGGATTTACACCATTTGATTTGTGAAAATTACCATCAATTACAGACACAAACTCAAAGATCTTCACTACGACACACCATAATAAATGTTTGGCTTAACTTGAACAAATTGTGACAGGAATATATTATACAGCAGAATGTACTTCTCAAAGTAATAATTCTAATAATAATAAAATGATAAAAGTAATATCTCACAATTTTTCTTACATGTTTTAATTTTAGCACTTTGTTTGGCAAAAAAGAAAAAAAGAATTAAGTTTTTAAATTAAATCCAAATTAAATCCTGTTTTCAAATCTGGCTTTGAAAACAGACAAGACAATGCTTCTGAAAAATAAAGCATTTCATAGGGTCCTACTATTGTAAACATTTTAATAAACTATTAAAGTGGTTATATTTTATGATTTCAAATGATTATTAAAATTAAAATTAACTATTAAAATAGAATAAAATGGAAAACGTGGAATTTGGGAAAAATAAAATGAAATTTAGTAATGGGGTCCATATGGCTAAACATTTAATAAAGTGTTGTTAAATTATGTAAGTTTCATAATTTCAATTAATTACACATGTTTTTTGATTACTAAAATTACTAAATGGAATAAGCTGAAAAAACAACAACAACAAAAAAAACAGATTTCATAGGGACCCAGCACAACACTGGCTAACTAAACAGTTCTTATATACAGTGGGGAAAAAAAGTATTTAGTCAGCCACCAATTGTGCAAGTTGTGGCGGAAATGGGCTTCCATACATTTGTTATTGTATAACTCAATTTTTTTCATTTTCTTTTTTCCAGAAAACAAGACTTCATATCTTCAGGCAGCTTGCATCTCAGTTAAATTGATCTCGGCTTAAGGATGTTCAGATATTTATATTGGTTAAAAAAAAAAAAAAACCCAGAAAGATTTATTTTTTGCATTCAAGGACATAATTTCATCCTTTTCTGTTCCAATTTAAGAACTTAATTTGTGGAAGGGTGAATTAAGACTTTTTAAGACCCACACAAACCCGGTATAAATGGTTTTTAAAATGATCTAAGAGTATAACTCACTTCTGCATCTTCTGTTTGCGGGCCACATCGCCGAAGCTGCGAAACTCCTCTCCTGCTTTGATCTGGTAGAATCTGGGCTGGTTCTGGCTCTGGTTCTGAGGTTCCTGCTGGCGGTTCCTGACTGGATCGGAGCCCTGTAAGCTGGTTTCTCGGTCCTGTTGCCTCCTCTCCTTCCTCTGGTTGAACGTGCGCTCCCGCTCCTCCGCCCGTATTTGACGGCGCTGCTCCCTCACTTCCTGCACCCAGCTCTTATCATCATCATCAGAGCTCTCCTCTTCCTCTGAGCTGCCACGGCCTTCCACCTCCTCCTCTTCCTCATCCTGCTAGTGAGATCAAGACAGTTAGAGAGAAATCTCAATGTGACATTTACATGTTGCACTTGTTACAAAGGTTACTTGGTGGTATTTTTATAATTTTCACAATCAGAAGTCTTTAGCTCTGTTCACAAAACCGTGAGACCTGCCTTCAGAGCTGGTCTAGTGATTGATTACATGTTCTCTGGATTACATAATCAGATTCCAAAAATTGAGTACTCATAATTAGAGTATATTACATTTTAATGCTCAAAATCAGATTACAGTACATTTTTTATAGATATTATTCACACAATGGCAGTAAATCATTCATAATTGACTGATTCTGAAAGACCTTGAGCATGTAATGTCATTATTGGCTGTCTATTAATGTTCGTTCATGAAATGCAGGGATTCCCAACCATTTTTGTCAGTCAAACACCATTGAAATGATACTTGCAATATTTCTGAGGAAGGTAATATTTCTGACTAAATACTTTTTTCCCCACTGTATATATATATATATATATATATGCCAGGTTTACGCATAGCTGAGATAAGCACACACACAGGGTGTATGTGTCAACAAGCATTACCTTGAGCTGCACTCTCTGAGCTCTCGACTCCTCGATCTTCTGCCGGATTCTGTCCTTACGGTACTCTTCATAGGCAAACGGGTTCGCCATGGTCTTCACCTGCACCAATGCACAGGAATTAAACATGAATCATCATTTAAAAAGCAAAAATGTTCAAACAAACAGCATAACGTGCACAAATGCTCAGACCCAAATCCGCACCTTGTGGTAGAGCCTGATGTCCATGAAGAAGCCGTGCATGTAGGCCCTGAGCAGAGGCGAGCCAATCAGATGCGTCAGACCTTACAGGAGGAAAAAAACAAGCGAAACATCAGGAAATGCAACAAAAGTTCAAGAATCACAAAGAACAACACATTTAGAACAAATAATATAAGCTGCTTGGTTGGTCCCAATCCACTATGTTTTGGGTGTATATTCCACCCTCAAGTTGTTTCAAAGCTGTATGAGTTTCTTCCTTCTGTTGAAAGCAAAATAAGATATTGTGGGTAACCAAACAGTGGTTGGTTCCCATTGACTTCCACAGTTTGGAAAAAATACTATCTCCAAGTCAATGGCTACAACCAACTGTTGCTTTCAACAGAAATAAGAAACTTGAGGCTGAGTAAATTATGACAATTTAAATTTTTGGGTGAACTATCCCTTTAAACCTGATTTAATGTGCAAATGCCATAATAGTATAACAATCTATCAAATGAAGTGGACAAAAATATATAATGTTCAAAAAGACAAGTATAGACTTGTCATGCATCCACTAAAAATCACTTTGTCGCGGAGCAAAAAAATGTAAAATAAAAAACCATAAAAGATCATTTGCTTAATACTAGTGTTGTCAAACGATTAATCGCGATTAATCACATCCAAAATAAAAGTTTTTGTTTACATAATATATGTGTGTGTGTACTGTGTATATTTATTATGTATATATAAATACACACACATGCACGTGTATATTTAAGAAAAATGTTACGTTTATATATATATATATATATATTAAAATATATTTATATATGATATAATTTATATGAATATAAATATATACATGTAAATACGTGTAAATAATTTCGAAATGTGTGGCTATATATAAATAATAAATATACACAGTACACACCCATATATTATGTAAACAAAAACTTTTATTTTGGATGCGATTAATCGCGATTAATCGTTTGACAGCACTTAAGTACTTAATACTTTTCGGGGTCATTGTAGTGTTTCCTAAACATGCACAGTTTATCTGCTGGATAATCTCACGCAACTAAACCCTCAGAGAAGAGACACAACAAGTGCACTAAATACATCACCTGACATTAGTAAATACACACTCTGACCACCAAAACACCAGCACCCTCAACCCAATGCTGTATACAACAGACTGCATGACAAACCTGCTTATATTGTATTTCCAATAAATATATACATGTAAATACGTGTAAATAATTTCGAAATGTGTGGCTATATATAAATAATAAATATACACAGTACACACACATATATTATGTAAACAAAACTTTTATTTTGGATGCGATTAATCGCGATTAATCGTTTGACAGCACTTAAGTACTTAATACTTTTCGGGGTCATTGTAGTGTTTCCTAAACATGCACAGTTTATCTGCTGGATAATCTCACGCAACTAAACCCTCAGAGAAGAGACACAACACGTGCACTAAATACATCACCTGACATTAGTAAATACACACTCTGACCACCAAAACACCAGCACCCTCAACCCAATGCTGTATACAACAGACTGCATGACAAACATGCTTATATTGTATTTCCATGGTTTTAAAATCGCAAGGTTCAATGAAGACATGCTAAAGCATTTAAAGAATCCAGCTGACCTTTGTCTATTGAGCAGGGATTAACTATTCCTTCAATTACACTCTTTGAAAACTTTTACTGCTATCAGGAAAGAGGCTGATTACACAACAGAGAAAACACAAAACTGACCCCAGACCAGCAGTATGACACACGTCTGTCTGAACAGATCCGAACCCAGAGCATCTCTGCTGCAAATTACAAACACGTCTCTGTGACAGACCAGGCTGCAACATTTCATCACAGTCTACTGTTATTTTGATTTCTTCTATTATTATGGCTGAGAAACAAACCAAAATGTAAAACCTTTTTCACACCTTTGTTATTCTTTGGAACACAAATTAAGATATTTTTTATATTCTCTCATTATTTTCATCTATCCATTGAAAAAGCCCACGTAACCAACATTTTCAACAACATCTAACAATGTCTTAAAGAGATTGAAGACACGATCACCTCACATGATGAACAGATTTAATATAAGCTTTTATGCACAAACACACATCATCAACACACATTCAAGTATGGTAAATGGATCAACCGTACTTGCATGACCTAAGAAAAAAACTTGGTTTTCCATATATGTGTGTGCTGCATGTGCATTCATCAATATTTATACATGCATAAAAAATAAGAAATAAATTAAAATCGTATCAAATAAAACTTTATCATATAAAGCTATTGTGTGATCAACGTTCAATGGTTCAACGTCCACCATTTAGGGGGTAGTGCAACAGTACAAACTTTGCCTGGATCTTGTGTACATCTTGATATGTTTAGTTTAAATGTATTTCTTGAATTTCTGCACCAGCGTTTTCAAAATTTGTTAAATGAGGGAAGTTTCAGTTACTATGACTTTTGCCAGTGACGGTGGCATGGCCAGACATGAGACGGAGCGCTCACTAGACTCTAGTCCCGTTACATAACCCTGCCATTCTGCAGCCCTCCACGTCACATAACCCACTGCATCACATGCTGACGCCGGCATTCCTCCGCTGTTTTCCCATTCTCCACTCACTGAACTGGATCTTATCATCGCTGTAGGCCTGCCTCTGTCTCCTCTGTGATATTTTTATCTGTTCAATTTGCATCATTCTTTGAGTTTTCGCAGATGGACTGAGATCACTCAAGGACTCTCTGTGGCTCAACGCCTGCGACTGACTGACTCAACTACAGGAATGTTCTTGTAGTAAATACTTTAGAAGCAGATGGCACCTCAAACTTTGTACAAAACGTGTCATAACGTGATGCTCGCTGATAAAACTACAACTAGACCTGGACTGACTCTGCAGTTGCAATACCATTTCCGTTAAAATTAAAACGTACAGAAACTAAGGAAAACATTTAGAATACTTGTGGCTTTAATTAATTACAAATTCAAGTCTGAAAAATTGACCAGAGCCCAGGCCAAAATCAAACTTTTAAGTTTGTTGGGTCCAGTTGGGCCCGGGTTGATTAGTGGACCTCTAATGCATTTAAGATTTATGCATTTTAATTTCATATCAAATTTCCATCCATTTGGATGACAGAGTTTTAACAAAAACTAATAAACTTAATGTAATTGGTCAGTCATACATAAATGAAATGGGTCAGATTCTTTAACGGTACAACTGTGATTTAACCAGGTATATTTATAAATCCAATTTTTTTTCATTCTCAAACATTTTAACTAATTGAATACTGCTAGTCATATTTAACCATGCTCATACTTTATAACTGAATAAACGTAACTGCTTTCACAAAGAACAGATTTATGCTGATTCTAAGCTATTTGAATAAAAGCATTATGAAAATATGATTATTTGAAAAAAAGTTAATTATAAACAATGCCTTAACTGCGCCGCTTCTGAATGACCAGCAAATATGCCTCACAATAAGTTTTTATGTATCACATTTGTTTATGTTAAAAGTTTACTTGATATGCAGTTCAAATACATAAATCTAAAGTGTATATTTAAATGTATCTTATTGGTGATCTTACGACAGCTGGCCAGAAAGAGACGGACTTACCCAGGTTCTCCAGGTCCTTGTGGGTGACAAACTTGTAGTCGTCATAGATGGTGCTCTCTGGGTTCTCCTCGAGCTCCTCTGTCAGGTTATCCAGGAAGGAGCACCAGCGTGGAGCCGGACCAAGAGCCTGAAGACCGCATGACACAACGGAGGAAATAATAAGGCTTCTTTTGTGGTAGATCATGAACAGCTTCTCAAAACATGGCAGTTTACAGATATTCCGGAGAAGAACATTTAAAGGCACAATATGTAAGATTTTTTTATTAAAATATCCAAAAACCACTAGAACAGTGTTATATATTTTGCTGACTTGTGTACTTACATTATCCCAAATGTTTCGAAGAATGTTTAAATCCAGAGAAATAAGCCATTTTAACTAGCGACACAGAGCGTGTCCATAGTGTCATTGTGTCGCCTGCCAATGACGTCATAACCCCTCGATTTGAAACTTTAATATGTTGTGCGTTTTAATAGATCGGTGACGACCGCACAGAGTAGCATTATAACAGAACGTTCAAATGTATCTAGTATGATAAAACAGCGCTGCTTTACCCCACATACGCACGACCGGAAGCTGAGGAAGCGGTCGACTGTGGCATAATAAAAGCTCCGCTGCTTTCGAGCCGTGTGTCGCGCTCGTTCAGCGCCTCGTTTCGCTTTGACGGCTTTCAGCCTCACCCTGCTTCATTCTACTACGTTAATAAATCATTAGCTCATCCATGAACATGATTTCTGCCCGAGTCCTGTCGGATTACTTCGGCTGTGGGGATGAAGACTACAACTCCCATGATTCCACACTCAGACACGGTGTCATCAAACTACGACTTTGTCTATTTGTTTATTTTGAATACACGCCCTCTAGCGGCGAAAATTTCATTTTGTGCCTTTAAGGATGAATTTCATTAAAACTGTTGGTCAGACTTTACAGAGAAATGCACCCGGAAGGCCAAAACCATCACAAGAAACCCTTCACACACTTCTGCCTTCTGGGAAACGATGCAGAACATTGTATGCCCACACAACAAGACTCAAAAACGGATTTGACCACAGAGCAGTTGCTCTATTGAAAACCCCACCTTCCACAGGGACCTAGAGACCTCAACCACTTCCCCACATACTGACTTTTAGTGCAGTCACCTTACTGTGCAATATTTTTGGTTTATCATGGTCAAGATGTCAACTATACTACCCTGTGAAGACCTTGTCTAAGTCCTCTGCACAATCTGACTTTGCTGCAGCTTAGAATTGAACTGCTGGTTTCGTCTGGTCAGAGGAGAACTGCCCCCCCGACAGAGCCTGGTTTCTCCCAAGGTTTTTTCTCCATTCTGTCACTGATGGAGTTTTGGTTCCTCTGGCTTGCTTAGTTGGGGACACTTAATTTCCAGTGATATCGTTGACTTGATTGCACAGAGACTATTTAAACTGAACTGAGCTGGATGATGACATCACTGAATTCAATGATGACCTGCCTTTAACTGAAAAATGAGTGTTTACTATTGTCCTTTTGCATTTTTGACACACTATTTTCCTATTTAATACTGTAAAGTTGCTTTGACACAATCTGTATTGTTAAAAGCGCTTTATAAACTTGACTTGACTACCTCAACACTTGTCACTTCCTGCTTAATTGCACATAATGTCTATATTTATGCACATACACAATGTTTACATTTATGCACGTGTTGTGTGTCCTCTGTGTACTGTATTGAATAGCGTATTGTGTATATTGTATTGTACCATACAGAGTATTATTATGTATAACAGTAGAGTCTTTAGTGTATAATCCCTTATATGTATGTATCAAGAAGGCACCTGGAGGTCGCTCCACCAGAGTTTCATTGTACAGTGACAATAAAGTTTGTTCTTACTTAGAAAGAAGTTACCCAGACGAAGGCTGTGTTTATGCGCCATTAAGACTGTTTGTATTGTGACATTTTCATGTCAATTAAGCACATTGCCAGTTAATGTGAAATAAGATGCATAATAGCAGTATCTGCTGTAACCGACAATAATCTAAGCTGATTAAAAAAAATGAACAACAAAAACCCCTCAAAGCTCTTCACTGCAAACCACCAAATGAATTCTTAATTTATCAGTAAATTAATTATTTGATTACATTTTAAATAATTAAATCAAGCTTTATGAATTCTTCTCAGACACTTGTAAATTAATTGTAATTTTTATTTGATTGTATTTTAAAGGATAATGGAGTAGGTAAAGTTTTATGAATTCATTTAATTAAGACTTTTAAATCCTAAAACACAGAATTCTGGAAATAAGTTGTTTACATTCATTCTTGAGCTCTAACGAACATGTGAAATGCATTTCCTTGCCCATACATTTTATGTTATGAATATTGTGATAAATATCAACATCAAATGATAATTGTTTGGCCATATTGCCCAACCCTAATTTTGTGTTTGAGGGGGAAATGTGATGAAAATAATGTCACAATGTGAAAAAAAACTTAATGGTCCTTAAAACAGGCCTTCATTTTGTAAAGTATTATTTAATGTCGTTTTGAGTTTGTTGTGAAATGTGACCAGGACTTTTCTTCACAAGATTCACTGAGCCTTGTTTGTTTGCTAAGCATGTCACTGCCTTCGTGAAGGACATATCAAATGGTTTGGTAATTGTGTGAGTGTGTGTACTCAACTCGAGCACACACAGGGTATACCCCTCTTATTGCCAAACACACAGAGTTATTTCATGTGCAGGTCTAGAACAGAACGTAGTTTCTCAGAAATGTTTCAGCTGCCCTTAACTACCATTGCCCCGTTAAATATAAACACTATAAAAGCACCGCGAGGGCTTGCTTTTACTTAGAAAGACAGGAAAAGGTGTAGTTGGTAGGCGTATACAGACGTGCCATGACTAATCAAGATATGAGGGACAAAATGTGCTCAAAGCATTGGCTGCTTTTTACAGCATACTTGATAACACGCCATTCTGGTACTTACAGGGATGTAAAAGGTGTTCATTTTGGGATCTTCATTGGCAGTGAAGAGCATACCTGTAAATTGGGTCACAGAACAGCAATTAGAAAACAAACTCACCCCTCATGGGACAAAAAACCCCCATATACAGTGAGTCAGCTGATGGACAATGTCACGCTCTGCCAACGGGTGCATGCAGGCCTAAACATTCGAGCTGTGTAAATATAATGCACTCCTAATAAACAAAGTGCAATGAACAATAATCAGTCTATAACACAGAACTGAAATATTTTATTCTGGTCACTACCATACAAAAGAATGAGGTTGGTAGATTTTGGTCTATAAGCCTCTTTTATGTTCACCAAGGCTGCATTTATTTTATTAAAAAAATCTCAGCATCTATTGCATTATTGTCCTACATTTACAATTTTCATTAATACTGTGTAACTGAATAAAGTGGTCTGCAAAATATTAAAATGAAAGATTTTGCATAGGTGTTACTGTAACATTGTAAGAAGTGTAACTGAATAATAAAATCCAAATAATTGTTTTTTTTACATGCATTTATATATTTTTATAAATAGTTATTAAATTTTTCACATTTAAAATAGCAATACAAATGAATGATGATTAATAATATAATTCGCACAACCATTCAAATGTTTAGCGTTGGCAGGATTTTTCATGAATGATGTTTATTTGATCAAAAATATAGTAAAATTTAAAATAACCGGGTCTATTGCAATATATATTTTGTCAATAATATATGCTAAATCTAAAGCTAAATTTTCAGCATTGTTACTCACGTGATCTTTAAGAAATAATTCTAATATGCTGATTTGCTGCTCAAGAACCATTTCTGATTATTATTATCAATGTTGGCTTTATCAAAGGACTGTTTGATCTAAAAACAACAACAACATAACAAAAGAGCCTGTTATGCTGCTTGATTCTGCAGACTTGTATTTCTTATCATATTCTTTTAATGTATTGTCGTAAATATAAACACAGAATTGTATTGAAAATAGTTTTACCGTTTACTGCCCTTTGTTATTCTTATAATTATTTACCTAGAGCTAATAAATTGGAAGTCTGGCACATTCACAGAATATAGCTTACTTCTGAGTAGCAAAAAGGTGGATATTACCTAATAAAATGACTTTTTTATTATATTAGTCTTTTGTTTTAAGGGGTTTTTAGTGTTTTGTTTAAGACACGCTGCCAAACCAGGACTTGCAATTTTCTATTGTAAGAGACAGTCACATCTTATAAGGTATCTGAATGGACCAAAAAATAAATATTTTGTCAATAATATATGCTAAATCTAAAGCTAAATTTTCAGCATTGTTACTCACGTGATCTTTAAGAAATAATTCTAATATGCTGATTTGCTGCTCAAGAACCATTTCTGATTATTATTATCAATGTTGGCTTTATCAAAGGACTGTTTGATCTAAAAACAACAACAACATAACAAAAGAGCCTGTTATGCTGCTTGATTCTGCAGACTTGTATTTCTTATCATATTCTTTTAATGTATTGTCGTAAATATAAACACAGAATTGTATTGAAAATAGTTTTACCGTTTACTGCCCTTTGTTATTCTTATAATTATTTACCTAGAGCTAATAAATTGGAAGTCTGGCACATTCACAGAATATAGCTTACTTCTGAGTAGCAAAAAGGTGGATATTACCTAATAAAATGACTTTTTTATTATATTAGTCTTTTGTTTTAAGGGGTTTTTAGTGTTTTGTTTAAGACACGCTGCCAAACCAGGACTTGCAATTTTCTATTGTAAGAGACAGTCACATCTTATAAGGTATCTGAATGGACCAAAAAATAAAAATTTACATGCCCTGTGAGCAAGATGAGATCAATAATTTTGGTCTGCTTTCCAGTAAGAGAAGGATTATCCTTTCTAAATATGCTACAAAGTTTATGTTGGCATCTTTCAGTACAAATGCTATGGAATGCCACAAAACTCCAATTTGGATTTCAAGGGGACAGTTAGAAATGAACCAGTAGCTTCTTGTGGTTAAACTTCAGTTCTATTTGCGTGAACTAACCGGAGCCGGGGTAGAGACACACATCATTGATGTTGGCCTGCGGTTCGATGGAGGAAAATACTTTTCCCTGAAATTAAGAGATAAAAAAAAAAAGTTATGCATTTGATGTTTGTCTTTGAAGGTTCATTGCTGGACGTCTGGATCAAAGCCGGTCTTACATTGTCTTTATTCCACATCTTGATGATTTTGGAGTCGGCGGAGAGCACCAGGTCCAGCGGGTTGTGGAAGTGAAGGGATTTGATGGGCAGCCCATAGTAATGATCTTTAACCAGCAGAGGACGTGAAGAACGAAGATCATAGACGAGAACCTGAGGACACGTCACAAATGAGCACTGCTAGCCATTCAGCACTGTAAATCTGAAGAGCTTATTGATTTTAAACGGAGGAATCTCCTCGATGTGAGATATAAAAATGACCTGTCCAGTGCTGGTGCCCACCGCCATGCCCAGAGAGCCATTAAACTTCAGCGCGCTGACAGACGGCAGACCTTCCACCCTTCAGACATGACAAAAGCACATAAGGATGAGGTTATATTACTCATGTTATTTGATTGATTACAGTATTCGACTGGAGTAATCTTACTGACCCTAAACTTTTGATATGCAAACTCTGGGCCTCGAAAAGATCAACATGATCAAAACTTTGCTGAAAAACCTGTTGCACACACAATCTACTACTACTTCGTGCCTTCTGTCGGCTAAATGATAGTTAGACTTTTTTTTTTATCAAATAAAAGGCCTTTTAGTATAATTGCACAAATGTCCATCTTCAACTTCTGCTTCACATGTCTTTCTGCTGTCAAATTTTTATAAAGTAAACGTAAGAATAACTTTGATATTGTTAGTAATATTTCAATATGAACACTTACTGGAGTGAAGCCGCTTCACTTCACTTGATTATCAACAAAATCATGTTCAAATGTGAGTCTCAAATATTATCATCAGACTTTTGATGAATGTGTATTTGTTCATCTCTCAATCTTCATTGTATTGCATTGTATTATATGTTTTGATCATCAAACTATTACTATATTAATGTTTAAATATCATCTGGCTATGACATATTATTGGAGACATAAAGTGACAACTGACATCTATACTGTTATGAGTCACATTACAAGCATCAGAATCGCATCTTACTTTTTGACCATATATCAACATCTGCACCAAATTTCATATTTTTGCTCAGTTTAGGCCTCTGAATAAAACTGATCTATTTTTCTTTAATATATCATACTATATGAGCCAAAAAGTCAGATGCATAAAATATGATACTCAACAAAAAACACATATGCAAACTTTTATATAGATTTTTTAAAATCATTTTAAGTTTCGATCAATTGTTCCATTTCTAAAAATGTGATTTTTTGAGGTTTTACAGGGTTAATCATAATACTAGGGATGTATGATATTGGATTTTTGCCGATATCCGATATGGCGATAATTTTCCAACTCATTTTGGCCGATAGCCGATGCCGATATATAATTATTTTTTATTTTGGTTAGTTTTTAACAAGAACTTATTAGTTAGATTTAAATAAACAATAATAAAGTTATTTTATAGTGACAGTACATTGAAGATTTGAAAATAACTATAACTAAACTATATATTAATCACTGCATTTTTTTTTTCAGAAAGATGCAGTGGAAACCTTAACGTCTTATTTTATGATTTAACATTTGCAAATGGTCTAAAGCAAAAGAGTTGTAACAATTCTGAAAATCTTTTAGAGCTCATAATTTGTTTAAAAAATAACATATTACACATTAATGAATAAATCAGTATATATGAAATTATTTAATTTAAGTGTGATTTTTTTTTGTTCATGTACGCTATAGCTTCTGGCCTTTAAATCAAAACATACTCAAGATTTTATGGCATCAATTACTGCTTTATTTAATCAGAAATACCGTCTAAATATTATTTGTGTATTTTGCGTTCATTTCAATAGAGGTAGGCCAACAGCGCCCCCTACGGGATTGAAACTCCTTACAGAGCGGGCTTTAGGACCCGGGGGAGGCTGCCGCTGCACGTGCCATTACTGTTAACTATCCCACACCGAGTGTATATGCATTCTCAGTTTAAATGCAGTGATCCAAACAGTGAATCCAATCACCACTCAGGCAAAACTTTGCATCAAGAATGAGTCATAATGCTGACTTGATCTAATCGCTAGCACACCCTGAGCACATGTGAGTTAATATATTCCTCATATCGGCAAGACATATCGGCATCATTTTTCATATCGGCCGATGCCGATATTTACATTTAAAGCCATTATCGGGCCGATTCCGATATTGGTCCGATGATATCGTGCATCCCTACATAATACAATGATTATGACACAGATATTATAAGACTGGATAATTGACTATACATTTACTTATACTGCAAGGTCTTCTGAAGCCATATGATAGCTTTTTGGGACCAAATGTCTGAAACCTAAATTATTCACAGAAAATCTTTTTTAACAGCTGTGGTCACCATTCATGTTCATCGCACAAGGAAAGAGCTGCATTTCTTATGTGTTAAAGGAATAAGTAAGTCATATGAGTATAAAAAACATAAAACGGTGAGTAAAAAATTGACAGAATATTCATGCTTGGGTGAACGGTGAAATATTTCTTTAAGCTGTATATGAGAATATCAGATGGATGTAAACTTACTCAGTTCCGTCAGTGATGCTGCTGAGAGCACAGTCCAAAACAGCCACTCGACTCCGGACACGAGGGTCCCAGCAGTCCACTCTGATCTAAGCTGATTAACACACACATTAACACACACACACACATTAACACACAGCACAATAACTCTAACACAAACACCAGTCCTGAGATAAACTCCTACCTCTAAAGTTCCCGCAGCAAATAACTGATGAACAGGATTGATGTCACACACGTTGATTTCTCTGTGAAGACATGAGATCTTTACAATTCATACACAACTGTGATTAGGGTTGGAAAGGGGTGGAAAATTTCCCGCAAATTTCCGGAAACTTTCCAAAAATCCCTGGAAGATTCCAAAAAAAAAGTTTCCAAAATTTCTGGAATGTTTCCCAAATTTACTGGAAATTTTCCACCTTTTTGTAACCCTAACTGTGATCAATGTTTGGGTGTTTATTATGACGTGTCCAACAGGATCATGTAATGAAACATGCTATTTTGAATCTCAAACTATTATATAAATATTTACTATTATAACAGCATTTTATATTCCTTTCTTATGTATCTAGTTATATAATTGTGTTAATACGCACAAAATTGAGACTACATCGGCATTTTATTAAAATTTGTACACTATTATAGTTTGTTAATTTTGATTTTATATTTTCACTTTGATTTTAGTTGATGTTTTAGTAATTTTGCTGTATGCCATTTTTATTAGCTTTTTAAAAAATATTTTTTATCTATTAGTCTTAGTTTAAGTTTCAGTTGTTTTAATAGTTAAACTAAACGAAAATAAGAAATGTTCCCTTGAAAATAAATGTTATTTCAATTAAGATAAATTTGATTTTTAACAACAAAACGTTTTCATGATTTCAGCTTCAGTGAACTATTAGAACCCTGGACTACATGTAATATTTTTCATTTTAAAAATGTATGCTCCACACAGCTACATTATGCTAAAAAAAAAATATATATATACAATTTTCTTTAAAGTTTTGATGTTTCTATTTGATACACTAGAAATGTGTCTTTTTCATTGCAAGCTATCTAAAGGAAAATCAACGATAGTGTGCTGCAAAAAATACTGCATCACTGTATACACAAACCACGTCAACCGGCAGGTATATAGCCACCATAGATGTGAGAAAGAATACTTTCTATCGCACAAGCACAGCCACAGCGGTGAAACAGCACCCTGTGCTGGTGAGATACTTACGCTGCATCTGTCTGTAAGGAGTTGAGGAATCTGCCTTGTTCAAGATTCAGTCTGAAGACCTCTGAGCTACAGCGGAAACACAACACATGCACTTCATTGAGAAAACAGAACAGCTCATACAAAGTTAGCAGGGTTTGCACAGCGTCCCGTGTTTGTATGTAATTAGGACCAACTGTGATGGTTCTAAAGACCTATTGATACCAAAAAGAGCAATGAAAAATCAAAAAGAATCACAGATGAAAGGTCTATTCACGAAAAAGCACTCTGGGCATTCACTTGCGTTGATGTTAGATGGACAGAACAAATCAGCCCAACTCACCATGCAACAAAAATTCCAGTCATCTGATAATAAATATTTCACTCGCTTCAATGCATTAATTTACCAATAACATCATAAGCTTATTACACAGCTACGTAAATAAATGGATATAAAAAAAAAAAACTGTTCAAATGTTCTCTTTTGCTCACCAAGGGTGCATTTATTTGATTAAAAATACAGTAAAAACAGTAATATTGTGAAATATTATTACGATTCAAAATAACTGTTTTCTATGTGAATATATTTGAAAATGCAATTTATTTCTGGGATCAAAGCTGAATTTTCAGCATCATTACTCCAGTCTCGCATGATCCTTTAGAAAGCATTCAAATATGCTGATTTGCTTCTTAATTAAAAATGTCTGATTATCAATATTGAAAAACAACATTTTTATGGAAACGTTTTATGGATACATTTTAAGCATTCTGTGATGAACTGAAAGATCAAAAGAACAGCATGACAAAAGTAGATGAAATGATAAAAATAGGCAGTAAATATTTGCTCTTGGTGTGAATAGACTTGGATAACACGTGATTTTCAGCGTGGCGTCGTACCTGGCTCCCACAAAGTAGAGATCAGAGGAAGGGTAGTGGTAGGAAAAATCTCGGCCAAACTTCGGGATGCGGGTCTTGTAGTAATGGCCGTGCTGAGAGTGGAATTCCACATAGCGGTCTATATTTTTTCAGGATTCTTTGATGAATAAAAAGTTAAAAACAGCATTCATTCAAAATATAAATATTTTCTAACAATACAAATCTTTGCTATCACTTCTTAACAATTTAACACATCCTTGCTGAATAAAAGTTTGAATTTCTTTCAAAAAAAGAATAAAAAAATTGTATTCCCAAACTTTTCGGTAGTGTATATTGTTAGAATAGATTTATATTTTAAAATAAATGCTCTTCTTTTTAACTTTTTCTTCACAGGGACGCTACGACGGATTTCCGTCAGTTCATAAAGATTTCAGTCACTTGCTTCATTCCTGAATGATTCAGACGTTCGAACGAATCAATTGAATGAATGATTCAGTGATAAAATCAGTGACTTGCTGCCACCTGCTGGCGGATTTAGTTTCATTTTTAGCGTATAATTTCAGTTATTTAAATCATATTTCTGTATTCAACATTTTATATTTAAAACATTAATCTCCACATGAATTTATTAATTGAATTGCACTCATGTCACCCCAGAGCCTCATTAAACGTCTGAAAATGTACCGACAAGCCAATTTTGTTTTCTTCTGTGCCACCTCTGTAGTACAAATTCATTTATTAATACTAATTTCATATGTTTGGTAACTTATTTGTCTATAATATTAACGTCTGCCGTCTCACTAATGAGGACATAAATACATGAACAACATCTCCAGAACTGCTCTGAGAGTCACTTCATGAGCATTTGACCGTTTCATTTCAGTAAAACTATCCTCATATCATATACACACAGAAATGTAAAGGTGTTAAAGGTTTAACTTGAAGGCATTGTGGCAGAATTATATTACTGTTTTTGAGTAGAATGCACGTAATAGGCTACTACTACTACTAAAATTATTAAAACCTCATTTAAGGAATAATCATACAATATTTCTTTAATGTTTTAATTGTAATATTAAATCCCCTTTATAAAAAAAAAGTTAAATTTTTCATTAATTAAAAGACAAATTCAAGTTTTGTGCATTAAAAAATGTGAATACACAAGGTAAATATTTTTGTAAATACAAAATCATAACGCTATTGTATGAATAAATGAAACTTGTTTTTATGCTTTCAAAAAATTAGACATGCTAAAACACAGAATTTGGTAACAATAAAACAAGGTTGGAAAAAACAAAACATTTAATAGGGCCCTAAACATGTCATTTTTGTTAAACTTTTAATAAATTGATGTTAACTTGTTTAAGTTAAGCTTACACTTAAGCTTTAAAGCGTTTTATCCAGGTCGCCAGTAGCAAACAATGGAGTGCGCTTTGCTGGACAAACTACGTAATTACACCATTTCAAGCATTTTATCTGCGTTATATGCTCTGTAAAAAACATTTTCATATCGGCGGCATACTTGCCGATACCGATATATCGGCGACAGGCTCATATCGGCTAAACGATATATCGGTCGGGCTCTAGTGTTAATTACCACATTAGGAGGTACCACTGCATTAAGTCCCCAAAAATCCTCTTAAATCTTACATTTGTTAAAATAACACAAGCGTACAACAAAAACAAGCAGACAAACAGAAAAAGACACAAAGCAGCATGTAAAGGCCTTACCTTAGAGTAGTCCTCAGATAGGATGTCAAACGTCACCACTGTGAGAGGAATAAAACCGATGTGGTGAGTGACAAAGCGTCCTTAATTACAACATCAAGCCGCCGCTTTACCCATCATCTGCTGTGTTATTTGCAATCAACGGCACATTAATAAGAGCTCAGGTTGATTGCGTGTGGACACTGATTAAATATTAAGCAGTGCACTGGGCTTTTATTACAGAGACTATCACAACAGCACCCAAACCAAACCCTAGACTTCATTCCACAAGAACTAGCATTTATAAAATAGATGGTACCATGGATGCTGATATCATATTAGCATGCATTATACAGTAATTATAACACTCACCATCAGACTCCAGGCACCGCTCAAATTTCAGAGACAGCTGGTAAGTGTCATAGCATCGGACTCTAGGTTTGTATGTGCCTGGAAGCATTCAAAAACATTTTCAGATGATTTCAAATTAATGTTCAGCATCATCGATCGGTTCCCAAAGTCTAAAACTGTATATTCATTTTTCAAAAAATTAGACATGCTAAAACACAGAATTTGGTAACAATAAAACAAGGTTGGAAAAAACAAAACATTTAATAGGGCCCTAAACATGTCATTTTTGTTAAACTTTTAATAAATTGATGTTAACTTGTTTAAGTTAAGCTTACACTTAAGCTTTAAAGCGTTTTATCCAGGTCGCCAGTAGCAAACAATGGAGTGCGCTTTGCTGGACAAACTACGTAATTACACCATTTCAAGCATTTTATCTGCGTTATATGCTCTGTAAAAAACATTTTCATATCGGCGGCATACTTGCCGATACCGATATATCGGCGACAGGCTAATATCGGCTAAACGATATATCGGTCGGCCTCTAGTGTTAATTACCACATTAGGAGGTACCACTGCATTAAGTCCCCGAAAATCCTCTTAAATCTTACATTTATATATATATATATATATATATATACACTGACCTGCAGCTAAAATGAACTGGCCATCGCGCGACACTCGGATGGAGGTGCAGACTGTGGGCATCTCAAAATCCTGAATCAGCTCAATCCTCTTCTGGATATCTGTTCAAGACATGATTGAAGAAATAACCAGATGTCTTTTTTAAGAGAGAGCGCGGAAAGCCGTGCCAACGTTTACCATGAAAAAACAGAGCGAGGTATAACGAACACATATCTCAAAATATAATTCAGTATCATTTGACGTAACGTCAGTAAGAAAATAAAATGTCTACGATACAAGGCCATAGAAAGAAATATGACTTGTAATAAGTCACAGGTTAAACTCAATCACTGGAGAACACAACAGTTTCACATTACTAATAAAACTTAGTAAAGTGATTTACTAATGCACAAAATTCATATTACATTTAATATTACAAGAACAAAAAAATTAAAGGGTGTTACAAATGTTAATAACACTCAACCCTGTTTTTATATTAAACAAGTTGAGCGCTCACCAACATCACTGTTCTGCAAGACTCTCTTCTTTCGATCCGACAGCCACTGAAATAAACACATGTGGTGTCAGATACAAGCACAGCAATGTCATAATTAGGACTACAACTACTAATTATAATAGATATAATAAAAAATATATTATACATAAACTAGTTGTTGTATCATCATCTTAAGAGGAGTCATAAAACTAGCTGAAAATGACAGGTAAAGTGTTTTTGTTTCTGAATCATGGGTGAAGGCTAAAAGTTTAGATCACAAGCTTTACTGTCATTCCCTGTATTTCAGTTAGCTTGCTAACTAACCTTACCCAAACACAAACACAAACACAAGAAGAGTTTTACCTCCGGGAGAGATTTCCCGTGACTCAGATTATAGATCTTCACGTTATTCACACTGGACACCTGCATCTCTAAAGCGTTCAGACACTTGTATCATCATCTTAAGAGGAGTCATAAAACTAGCTGAAAATGACAGGTAAAGTGTTTTTGTTTCTGAATCATGGGTGAAGGCTAAAAGTTTAGATCACAAGCTTTACTGTCATTCCCTGTATTTCAGTTAGCTTGCTAACTAACCTTACCCAAACACAAACACAAACACAAGAAGAGTTTTACCTCCGGAAGAGATTTCCCGTGACTCAGATTATAGATCTTCACGTTATTCACACTGGACACCTGCATCTCTAAAGCGTTCAGACAGAGCTTTCAATCATAACACACACAATCATGTACAAGGTGAAGAAGAGATTATGAACATCAGCACAGGGCCCCACGTGGATACACAACAGGAAGTGAGGAGGCGGCGGCAGAGGAAGTCCGTGTGGAAACACATTCCGCGACGATAGTTCCTAACACTGAGATCAATATTTTTAAGTTTTTTTTTTTGCATTATTTTATTGTTAACATTAACATTTATTAACATAAATGCAGTCGCGTCTAATTATTAGGTATTATACTTTAAATGTAAGTATTCTACTTATAAATTAACCTGTGATAGTAAAGCCCCATTTTAGTGCAAAGGAATCCCATTTGTATTGTTTTAGGATATATATATATATATATATTCTTAATTTCAAGACCAATTTAACAAAGCTTATTTTTCTGAAGTATTTAGATTTTAGAAATAATATAGAGATAATGTTTACATTACATTTTTTATTTATTATTTGAATTCGAGACCCATCACTTCAAAAACGGACACAGCAAAAAAAAATAAAATTTTTTGTTAACTCTATTTTGAAATAAAATGTGAATTTTTCAGACTTTTCTGTCTGATCTCTACCGTCCTATCCAATAAAGGCATAAAAATCTACAAACATTCACAAATGACCAGAAAAGTCAAAGAACAGTTATTTTTTTATTTTATTTTTTGGTCTGAAGTCGAATCTAAAAATTTGGCTTGGATAAAATTTGTGAGGAGAGGTAGAAAGATCATCTTGAAACAATTTGTTGAAACACACACACACACACACACACACACACACACACTCTCTCTCTCTCTCTCTCTCTCTCTCTCCCTCACACACACACACACACACACTCTCTCTCTCTCTCTCTCTCTCTCTCTCTATATATATATATAAAGGAGAATAATTAAAAAGAAACAAAAATAATTTTTGACAAAATCTAAGGTGGCGCATGCATTGAACACGGAAACAATGAACATCCAAACTAAGCATAACATGGTGCTTAAAAGAACATGGCGGGAAACAATTTCAGCATCACAGAATGCAATGTGAGAAGAGCGTGTCTCTCATTATGATAATGTTTGCACACAACACCTGTTCTCTCACAATGCTTTACCAGCATCACTTTACATAACAGTCCACTGTCTGCCTTACCGCACAAACCTCATGAAGTACGTATACTTCATTCACTTACCTGTATCCTATGAATTCATTTATAATTCAGTTTTATAATACTACATGTTACCTTCATCTATTCACGGTTGTGTGTAAGCTGCCTATGCAAAATACACAGTAAACATGACTAACCACAGGTAAGTGAGAATCTATGTCAGTTGCTTTTTATTTGTTCTAAATGTATTGATGAACTTATACATAAATGTACATTAATTAAATATAAACAATGAAACACATAAATCAATTTATCCTGAGTAGATTGCTGAATGCGCTGTATTTTCAGTTTAAGCGACATGATTTCTCGATATGCAACATTCTGTAACAGATGACATTAAATACTTGAATTGAATTGAATCATGCACACAAATGGGTTTTGTAAAAACTGAAGATGGATCTCCCAGACTATTTCTTTAGCTGATCTTGATGAGGTATTACCTCATTTACTCTCATCATGAAACTTTAGTGTCTTTAGAACATGAGAATTGTGCTCGTCTGTCTGAGAAACCTAATCTTCTCAGACACTGTAGTCAGCAGACCAGGGATACAGTCAGCAACTGGTCAGTGTACGTTCATAATTGGACTCATTCTAAGTCACAGACTGCTGTCACAGGTGAGAAGAACCAGCATGACGGAGTTCTGGCTGATTTCGGTTCCTCTGGATAAAATCAGCTGTCAGTCTTTAGAGAAACTCAAACGGGTCTCAGCCAAAACCGGTCTGGCCACGAGCTCCAGAATCCACATCCCAGAGCTGAAGGTAAGGAAACACTCTTCTTCTAAGACTTCTGGGCTCTCTGGAGGATCTCCGGTGCTTCACTGTAGGCCAGTTTGAGGCTTAGAGTTGAAAATTGTTGCTTAAGGTCAATAATCAGTGGACAGTAAACAATAATAAAAGTTTTTTTTCTTAGACACTTTCCATGAATAGAGTACAAGATCGAGTTTGAAGTTCTTAGAGTTTGAAGCGTTTTTATTTCTTTATATCGTTTATTACATCATTACAAATACTTTGAAAACAGTGTTAAATTGTTGAACTTAGTAAAAGCAGTCAATGCCATGATTTGTTAAAGGGGTCCTATTATGCTTTTTCGCTTTTTCAACTTTAGTTAGTCTGTAAAACCAATCACAACACACACTGGCATAAAACAAATGTAAAAAATAAAATGAGATTATACTTCTGCTGCCTTCAAGTGCACCTGGGAAATTAAATTTGTATGATATGTCACACATTGAAGCCCGAAACATAATATAGAAGTAGCCTAAACAAAGCAAAATAATTATATTGTGAACAATAATCACCAATAATAAGAATTAAAAATGAGGAAAATTTATATCACTTATTCATGCATGGTATCATGGTAACTCTCTTTATTATAAGTAATAGTTGAGTGATTAACTCATTATCTCTCTATATAGATTCTAGGTATATCATATTATGTTATCTATGTTATAAATCAGTATTTTCACCATATTTCAATGTGATGCGCTCCTTCAAATATCACAACTTGGCAACTCATTTAGAAATACGTTTTTCATTCATAAATACGACTTCGTTCTGTCATTCATGTGCTCAAAATGCGTAATTACAATATTTAGACTTGCACTTCCAGAGCGAATTATAAGGTCCAAATAATGTCTGTCATGGAAATACCAATGTAAATGAGTTATGTTGAAATTATGAAATTTCGATGATTTTAATTCTTGGATACATGTAAGAAGGTCAATGGCAAAATGCCCATCTTAAAGGGATATTCTACAGAAAACTGAATGTCATTTACTCATCCTTAAGTTGTTCCAAACCTGTTCTTTCTTCTGTTGAACACAAATGAAGATATTTTGAAAAATGTTGGTAACCAAACAGTTGACGGTAGCCATAGTATAGAAAAACATATTATTGAAGTCAATGGCTACCGTCATTGGTTTCCAAGCAGGTGGAGGGCTACTTTACATACTATTAATTTCAAGTGGACTGCCCCCTAAAGCCATGGGGTGCCACCTAAGCAAATATGGCCTCATGGCACAGACCCTGCAGTATTTGTCTTAAGAAAGCAGTTTTTCTACATGTAGATGCATTGGGTCCAGATTCTGCTGAATCAAATTGTTATTTCATCAAAAAAGTCAAAAGATCTGTCATCATCTACTCAACTTCATGTCAATTCAAACCTGTATGATGGCTTTTTTCTTCTGTTGAACTCATTGGAGGATGTTGGTAACCAAACAGTTTTGGTGACCATTGGCTTACAAGATAATTCTCAAAATATCTTCTTTCATGTTCGACAGAAGAAATTAATCATACAGGTTTGGAACGACATGAAGGTGAGTAAATAATAACAGAATGTTCATTGTTCATTTTTTGGTGAACTCTTGATGTAATGAGAAAATGGGCACAAAACGGAATATAATATTGATTATTTCCAAGCAGGTCTCCAAAAAAACTACACTGCACAACAGTGTCTGCCATTGTTTGGATTAAAAAGGCAGTCTTTCCTTAAACCCATGCCACTAGTTTTGCCAGAATTTTACATTTGGGCCACTCAAACAATGAGAGCCACAGTGTTACACTCTTTAGAAAGTGAGAAAGGAGTTTATCTAAAAAAAAAAATACACTTTTCACCTTTAACTTTAATAACAGAAGTTTAAGTTTGTATAGAATGATAATGGATCTCATGAGATGTGACTGGTTTTGAATTGCCCTGTCTTGGCAACATGACTCTACTTAGTGACCAATTTGTTCCATATGAATTAATGGCTTCAAAAAGAGCTTGACTGTGTGTCTGTCTGTGCATCGAAACAGGTTGTCAAAGGATTGTCAGATGTCTCCATCAGGAGCAACTTCTCAAAAAGTGGTTTCAGAAATTCCTGCTATGATTTAGATGTTTTGATGGTAAAACTTTATATTGGCTAAATGTTTGATCTCTCAAAGGTTGAAGTCTTATATATTTTTGGGAGGCATGTAGTATAATGGGCCCTCAGGATTCTAAACTAAAACCTCAGCATGGGAGAGGTGGGTTTTGTTATGTTTGATTCATGTATAATACCACTGCTGTAGCTTATGTAATGGTTTGTTGTGATGTTTCTGAAGGTAGGAACGCTGGATGTGCTGCTGGGGGTCTCTGATGACTTGTCCAGACTGGACTCCTATACAGAGGGGTAAGCACTATTGCTTGTATTTATATATTTAGATATTTATATATTCATCACGTCTTCATTACTGAACTGCTTTCTATATTATAATACATTCCACTAATAATAGGCCCACCTTTGTCCTTTATGTTTCTAGTTTCTACAACTATAGCAACCAGGGTTGCTTAAAGTTGTTTTTAGGGTATGATTCTAATAATGGAATATTTTTAGTGGATGTGTTTGCAATCACCTAATGCCATTTAACCCTGTAAAGTGCATATAAAAAAGTGTATATAAAATAATAGTCAGAAAAGCTATATATGTAGGCATGTAAAAAAAATGCATCATTGACACATTATGGCTCATATATAGAGTATGACATAGTGCGAATATGGAGGGAAAAAAACATCTCAATTTATTCATGGCCCAAAGCAAGCAAACATACAAAATTTTGCTGATGCTGATATTTATATGACCAATAAGTAAGATTGAACACTGATTGCTTGTAATTTAAATCAATGAGATCTTTATAACAGTATAGCAGGTACTTGCATACAATTATATAAATATCAGTCGTCACTCTATATCTCCAATAATATGCCTTAGTAAGATGATATTTAGATGCTTAGTTTTATGATACAAACGTATAATGCAATTCAATACAATGATGATTGAGATATGAACAAATAAATGTTCTTGAAAAGCCTGATGATCATATTTGAGACTCACAAAAAAAAGATCAAATAAATCAGTTGCCAAACGTTTCAGTCCAGTATAAAAGATATGACAATATCAAAGTTATTCTTACATTTACTTGATAAAATCAGTCAAGATTTGACAGCAAAAAGACACGTGAAGCACGAGCTGAGCTTTTAGACAATAAAATATCTTTAATTGCTAAAAATATCTAAACTATCAATCAGACGACAGAAGGCATGTATTAGATTGTGTACAACAGATTTTTCAACATTTTCAGTTTTGATCATGTTGATCATTTAGAGGCCTTATAAATTTTCCTATCAAATATGATACAGTAGACTTTGTAGGATTAAGAATCTATTAGACCTTCTTCTGTTGGTGTGTGGGGTTTATGTGTCCTTTGTCACATTAATATATTCCCGTATTACCAGTAAGGACTAGATCAGACTGATGTGTTCTATAGCGCGTTTACCTCTATGTGTTTGTGGGAAATTTCTCGAGCTGTTGTAATACAATTATCAGTGAGTCACTCAATCCAGTCGAGTCCAGTTTCAGGTGCCAGCTGACATGAATCTTCCTGTCTCAGCTGCAATGTTTATGTGTTGTGGAAACTGCCCTCTCTTTTACTCCTTTCTCTCTTTCAGTCTACGGTATCCATTCATATGACTTCCAGACAAGGTTACACTGGGTTCAGGTGCTGGGGTGACCTTTGGGGTCATAGCTCTATGTGTGAATACTAGCGTGGCTTTAATGGTTAATTATCATTATCCTGGCTGAGAGATATTTTGCAGCTCCAAGATTACTGAATATTCAACGCTAACGGTTTCAAACGGTATTGTTACATGACCACATTATCTTGTTAAGTTTAGAAAGTGGAGTCTATTTATTGTATTTATCTTATATATTTAATAGGTTCAGTAATTTCACTTTAATGGCAATGAATAGGTTCTTTTCATGCATTAATTAAAGTGAAATAACTGAACATAAACATAGGAGCCTGAGAAAAATGCTCGTTTTAGAAGAAAAACTCGAATATTGAAGTTAAAATGATAATCAAGTGCTTTACATGTGCTTTAGTATGTTACTCAACACATCAAAATAAGTGAACTTTTTCAAACGCACAACTTTAACGTAAACTTGACATTGTCACACTTATAAAAAGTGTACTGAAGTATGTTATGAAACAAGTGCACCCTCCTTAAGTACACTTAAGAAGCCTTTTATTTCATTATTATATATCTTCAAGTTCTGTTTTTAAATATACTTTGAAGATCTGAAGTGCATTACTTATTTATAAATTAAAGATATACATAAATGCTATAACAAGTGTTAGTTCATTCATAATAAATTGTACATTAACTACTGTTCAAGTATAGACCCTTAATCAACATATCACTCTTCTGCATTCTCTTGTACCACTGTAACACAGTGTGATGCGTCAGACCTCTCAGTGTTTGGGTGAGGTGATGGAAGAGTTCAGTGGAAAACTCCTGGAGAGCATGCTGGCCAACGGAGGTGAGTGAATGTGGGGAGCACTCCTCTGTAACGGCTAAACCTGTTCCATAAGAAAGCAGAGAAGAGCTCATTAGCAGAAGGCCACCTCCTCTGAGCCAGGCCATGTTCACCACAGATCAAGTTACATAAGATATAAACATGGCTTAATGGAAGTGTTACATACCATGCAAATGCATGCAAATGATCATTGCCTTGCAAGATTGTTTCATTTCTTTGATTGTTAATCAAAAGTCTCCGTAATGCTTTGTTAATATTATCAGCACAGCACAGGACTCATCAGAAAGATCACCAGTCACCGTTAAAATCGTACTTCCAGACTATAAAAAGTATGCTAACATTTGCAAGCTAACTTTCTGAGCTAGTACTAACCTTATTGGTGTAAAGTTATAAGCATATCTTTCAACCTTTAATGAAGTGCAGTGTGCAATGGCGGCGCACGCTGACGGCAGGGCAGGAGCTGTAGGTGTAAATGCTGCCAATTTTAAACTAAAAACTGATCATTTTGATTTCAAAACTAGAGTTAATCAAAGCCAAAATACTGCTGATAGGACATAGAAAATTATTGTTATTGGCTATACTGCTATCCTTCGGTATTGAATTACAGGTTCATGGAAGTTTAATTCAAGATAAGCATCAAATTGTTAGTGTATTTAATACTTTTTTTATAGAATCAGTTCAAGATTTAACACAGGGATTTGGTGAGAAGTAAAGATATTATATTACCAAATCATGATCTTACTGTTTTTAATATTTCTGAAGTATCTGAGTCCTATGTAACAAAAATTTTAAGTCAGTTTAAGAGTTCTAGAGCTGTGACTCTGTATTTGTTAAAAAGTATGCAAATGTTCTTAGTTCATCTATAACTCATTTGGTTAATTTGTCAATAAAGCAATGTCATTTTCCAAGTGTCTGGAAGTCAGCAGTAATAGCACCTATATTTAAGACTGGTGATC